TCTTATTTTCTGAACCCACGTTCACTGTAGCACAGGCTAGTGGACAGAAGATGTATTACAAAAATACATACTTAAAGAGTAACTAAACCCGAAAATAACATTTTATTGCTTATAAACTGTATAATTGGGTCTTTACAAATGCAATCTTTCTGCTTCTGTGCATTTTTTAACATGTTTGTGTAAACTTGATTAAATCTAGAATCTAGGTCTAAAAACGCCTTAATGCTGCCCCCTGTGGCAGAAAAGCAGCTACTGCATTTTAAACTTGTGACTGACTGGGGCTGGAACAATTTCATGTCATCGGTGCAGTCTCCTCCCACTCCCCCTCCCTCTCAGGATCGAAATTCCCCACACTTGGTCATGCCACTCTGTGCCTCCTGGCAACATCCACTTTCACAGCATTTTTCAGATATTGACTAGGGGTGGAGTTACATTTTCTGATAGTGTGACGTCCCTCTTTAAAAAAGCTACAATAGAAAAAAGTAAAACATTTTTTTTCCCTTGCCAGGCTGAGAAAAAAAAACTACAACTAATGGTCTAAGTCGAGAGACTGAAAATCGCAGAAGTTTTCTGGCGAGGCCGAAGCTCTACTGAGGCCTTTCCCTGGTGCTAGCTCTGTGGTCACGTGGGTCTGATGCTCATTAATTATTCAGAATTTTAGGCTTTTAATACACTTAAACAGAAGAGTGACAAAACAATTCACCCCCCTCAGAGTTGCCATGAGTGTAAACTAGATCTATTAAACCTAAAACATGTTTTGGTACCAGGCTGTAAACATGTTTATTTCTGCTGTGAAAATGGTATTTTTAACATGGGAGTCAATGAGGATTTGCTCACTTCTGACACCAGCCCCCAGCGGATTAGGGTGGAACTGCAATTTTTGTCACTTCCGTGTTGGCTTCATTTTCATACCAGTATTACGGGGGCTTGTTCGGAACAAGTAAAATAAACGTATAAAAATGCCGAAACAAATAAAGAATATTTCTGTTGCCTTTCAGGACTTTTGTACCACACAGCTCTACGTCACTCTGTAAATTAACCTTCATGGACTCACCCTTCTTGGCTCACAACGGGTAAGGCTGTTGGATTAGCATCCAGGAAACAGCAGAGAACAGCTTAGCTATTAGAAGCTAACCGTTAGTATTAGCAACTCCACCACACATAAGAACTCCTTCAGGCTTGTAAATGGAGGCAGGGAAAGAGTCGCATTGCTGTTAGTCAATCAGATGCAAGATATTTGAATATTATGAATATCAATAAGTATAAATCCTGCAGTTTTCTGGCCCCTAATCCTCTGGCTCACTTCTACTCCCTGAAACAGGCGCATCACAGCATTGATCCCACAGGAAATGATTCACAAGGCATTCATTTGTACTAGAGACCACTGAAAATGTATTGAAATAACGAGTGAAGGAGAGATTGAAACTACGGGACTCACGATCACAATTTTTTTTGCCTTTGTTTAAAATATAAAATCATAAAATCTGTAGTTCTTTTCCCTAACACTTTAGTATATTCTCTTTTGAAGTCTTCCAGAAATAAATAGTCTTTATTTCATCTTGAGCTTTCTTCTTTTCGGTCTTTCTACAACCAGTTAATTATTCAGCAGTTTGACTGATGCCATACTTTATTACTTTAATTAAAACACTACAGTTGTCACTGAAAATTATGTAAAAGGCTTATCACACCATTGTAAATGAAATATTGGCAAAACACATTATTCTGTGCATGCCTCACATCAATTTGTCTCCAGACTGGTTGCCTGCTGTTTTCCAGGGAACGGCTCAAAACAACAGGAAATTGCCAAACATGCACAACAGGCATAATTTACAGACCAATTTTCAAACAAACACTGGTGCACAACCTCCCCCGTGCACATTCAGTGATAGGCAGCGGAACTTCTCATCTGATGCGGGCGAATTGTGGTTTGTTGGCACTATCGTAGCTGGTGGTCATTATTGAAAAGGGGGGGGGGGGGCATCAATGTTTAATCAAGTTCTTGACATGGACTCAGGAGCAGAAACAAATGCTGCTGTGAGGAATGTCTATCAGCTGTGCAAGGAGGCTTTGATCAGGTTTTTCTCAAGTCAGTCATGAAAACGGGCAACATTTACATCAGATCATTTTCACATTCCAAGTGAGAAGAGATAATGAGTATAGTTCAGTTTGAGTCAGCAGCAGAAAAGACAAGCCTGGTGAATGCGACATAAATGAATCATAATCGTTTTTTCATTAAAAGTGGTCTTTTATTAGAAAACTATAATGCCTTCACTTCATGATTATATTAAAAGATAATGGGGAGATTAATGCTCAGTGGCACGGTTGAAGGAGTTTATACAGGATTTTGCTGCCATCATGTGGGAAAAATAATATTTGTGGCCTAAAAATTTTTCTGGAAGCATATTTTCAGTAAAAGTCATTTAAGATATCATATGCAGTACTAGGCAGGGGTGAAAATGCTGTGAACAAAGAATACTTTCAACAATGGAAGTGTCAATCATTTATTTTCATTGATCAAAAGAAAACAGTGAATAAACAAAAGAGAAGTCAAATCGTGTGTGACCACCCTCTGCCCTCAAAGCAGCATCAATTCTTCTAGGTACATTTGAACACAGATGTTGAAGGAACTGGGCTGGAATGCTGCTGCAAACATCTTGAAGAACTACACAGATCTTCTATAGATGTTGCACATCCTTCTGTCTCTTCGTGTAAACCCAGACACACTCCATGATGTTTGGATCAGGGCTCTGAGGGGGCCAGACCATCACTTCCAAGAGTTCTTGTTCTACTTTATGCTGAAGATAGTTCTTCATTACATTGTCTGGATGTTTGGGGTCACTCACTTTGCATTTTTTAAATTGATTTTTAAAAATTCATTATTTATATTTCTGAAAACATTGTTTACGGTGTTTTTTTTTCTCACCTGCCTAAAATTTTTGCAGTCACAAGAAGAGGCCGACCAATACTGATTTTTCTATTGCCAATTACATGGTAGCCCGGCCTGCCAGACTCCTCCTCTGTTTAATTCTGCACAGAGAAAGGGTCTGGGAACTCTCCTATTCAAATAGCCCCGCCCCCTGAGAATTCTAACTGAGTCAACAGCGCTGAGTAGTGTACGTCACATACCATAACCCTGAGTTTGTCATAAACATGGCGGCTGAAGCGGAGTTCGCTGCATCTCTTTCCTCTGGTATAAATGACTTGAACATGTCTTTAAAACAAGTAGACACGCTAAAAGCCTTTCTTCTAAAGAAACGGCGACAGTGGCACAGGAGTTAAGTGCTCGCCCCGTAATCGGAAGGTTGCTGGTTCGAGTCCCGCTCAGTCTGTTGCTGTCGTTGTGTCCTTGGGCAAGACACTTAACCCACGTTGCCTGCTGGTGGTGGTCGGAGGGACTGGTGGCGCCAGTGCTCGGCAGCCTCGCCTCTGTCAGTGCGCCCCAGGGCAGCTGTGGCTACATTGTAGCTCATCCCCACCAGTGTGTGTATGTGTGTGTGAATGGGTGAATGACTGATTGTGTTGTAGAGCGCCTTGGGGGGTTCTAGGACTCTAGAAGGCGCTATATCAAATACAGGCCATTTACCATTTACCAAATATGTTTACGCTGTTGCCAGCATAATGTGCTTGACAGTTTGTATTACTTTTCTGAACACATTGTTTCTTGTAAACACTGATAAATCAATCATTCCTTTCAATAAAAGTTTGACACATAAACACTACACTGAGCAAAATGTACTTAAATGTGTATATTACTGTTTATACTAGATTATTTACTGTAAAGGCTGTGATTAATCAACCAACCCTATCTTTAATGAACTTTTGACACTTGAAAATAAAACAGTGAGCTGAGCAAAATATTCTTAAAAGTGTGTTACTGTCTCTGTACTAATTATTTCCTATCTTAATATCAGTAAACTTTTCACTCATGAGAAAAAAGTGAGCTAAATGTAGGCTATAAAAAAGTAATAAATGAAGTTTTAACCCCATAAAGTGGAGAGGTCCTGGCGACCCACTGAGAGGCTTTGGCGACCCCTTGTGGGGGTCGGGACCCCCAGCTTAGGAACCACTGCTGTAAGAGACACAGATATACTATGTAAATCTGGTATTACACAGGTATTGAACACATACTCAGTACTGCATTGATGTTATTGTGTAACAGGATAATACCTTTACAGCTTAAACTGAGTAGGTATACACTCTTACTGCAGAGTGGAAGAACGATCTAAGGTAGAATTCTGTTTTACATATATTTATATGTGTGTGTGTGTATATGTATACATATATATGTATATATATATGTATATATATATATATATATATATATATATATGTATAGATGTATACATATATATGTATATATACGCACACACATATATATATATATATATATATATATATATATATATATATATATATATATACATACATATATATATACTTATGTGTATACGGTATACATGTATATATATATATATATATATATATATATATATATATATATATATATATATATATATGTGTGTGTGTATTTATATATATATATGTGTATATATATATATATATGTATATATATATATATACATATATACATACTTATGTGTATATATACATAATGTGTGTATATGTATACATATATGTATATACGTATATATATATATGTTTATATATATATATATATATATATATATATATATATATATATATATATATATATATATATATATATATATATGTTTATATATATATATATATGTGTGTGTGTGTGTGTGTGTTTATATATATATATATATGTATGTTTATATATATATATATATATATATGTGTGTGTGTGTGTGTGTGTGTGTGTGTGTGTGTGTGTGTGTGTGTGTGTGTGTGAAGGTGGATTTTTTTTCATGAGCGCACAACTGAAAGAATTTTCTCGGCAATCTCCGAGCTCCCCAGTCCTCGGCACTTTCCGTGACTGTTCGGTCTTCTCCGCTGTCACTCGGAAACCTCCCGCCGGAGCAGATTTTTTGTCGTCGTCTCCCTCGTCCTCCTCTCCGTGTTGTTGTTCTCGGTGACGCGACGGAGGTGTAGCCTGACGCGGTCTCTTACGTGTCGGTCTGAATAAAAGTGGAGCTCCGTAGACCCGGGAGTGACGAAGCGAGTCTGTGTTGGTAAGAGGATACGCATCCGATGTTTGCTAAACAGATAGCTGGCTGCCCAGAGATTATATTTGTGCCCAATTTCCTTACAGGGCCAACAAAGAGATCATGGCGGCGGTGTTGCAGAGGCTCACAAAATGAGTCAGTCTCTGCAAGGCTGCCTCTTTATAATATGGGAGTGGGCTTGATTCTCTTACCTAATTAAGTGTTTGCGTTAAAGTTTCTGAAGCACTTTACCTTGTAACGTTAGCGCGAAATGGTTATTAAAAGACCAGACAGATTAATAAACCAGCAATTGAAAGCGGCTATTTCTTTTTAAAAGTAGCTTAGAAAACAAACATTTCCCTCCAAGATCCAGCTAGTAACATAACGGTATTAGCCGGCGCAGATTTAAACTACAAACTTTACCGAACCTTAAAACAAAGCACAAGACCTTGACACACACGTACAAAAAAAAGTCTTGCTTAATTAGACAACGTATTTATATTTAATAAGATGCTATTAAACTGTGCTGTCATTCATTGCATTCTGATTTTAGCCAGCTAGCATGCTAGTGAGCTGCAATGTCTTGTGGAGCTAGCTAAGCGATTAGCCGCGCGCATGTAAAGTAAAATATAGAATAAAGCGCTTACATCTGCGCTAAATTTAGTCTGAAGTTAATTTTTTGCTTTAGCGTTTATATAATTTCATTAAGGAAGTCTATAACTCTGATGTGTAGCGTTTGAGGCTAAACCACACCCTCCTGCCCAGCCAGAACATCTCCAGTGTCTGTCATAGATGCATTTATTCTCGTGTTGGGAAAGAAATGTGGAGTTTTATCGCGATATTTAACGAGAACGTTAGTTTACATGTAATTAAATGCGATAATTACTTTGATTTTGACTCAAAAGGCATTTTTTAATTATTTCTAATTACAATAAGCCACTCTGAGGTTTTCATGCAGGCTGAATAAGAAAATAGTCTCCTACACCTATTTCCTGCATTAGCTTCTGATGGAAAACAAACATTGAAAATCTAGGAATTGAAAAGTCTGACAGATCTACGTCACACGGTCACTTAACATTTATGAACTCACCCATCTTGACTCAGTGACGGGGAAGATTGTTGTTTTAGCTTCCAAGAAAGAACAGAGATTGGCTGGACTACCAGAAGCTAACTGTTAGCATTAGCACCTCCACTACACAACAGAACTCCTTTAGACTTGTGTTATTTGTGGAGATAAAACATCAACGTTGCAAGTCAGTGGTAGTCACATTTCTGTTAGGCGAGATGTCTAAATACAGGGTTTTTCCTGCATTCAAATTTGCGTAGCGGCTGCCTCCAGCTAATTTTGTGCCACCCCAGCCTGATTTCACTCTGCCCCAGCTATATGGATGTTCTTTTAACTGTAGTTGCAGTGTTGCATCACTACACGGGCGCTGTATCACCAGCGGTGCACCGAAAAGCACTAAAACCGCTGCAGACAAAGATCAAAAATTGCTTTTCTCGCTAGTTGGTACATATCCGTGGCTGGTGCTATTGACGTCCCGATTTCCCCCAGTCTCTACCATATCAGAGCAGCGCTGTACAGTGCGCCGAAAAAAACTGCGTGTCTATTTTTAAACGTAGCACTGGTGCAACATCTTTGAATTTCTATTTTCCCCAGAACATTATTGAACAAAAGTAAGTTACCTGAAAGAAAAATGCTTTTTACTGGCGCACAGTGTGGTCATCTGGATGCAGGGGAGGAAAATAAAGGAACCAGCAAAGGCACAGAGGCAGAACCAGTCCAAAGTTTGGGATCAAATGTGCCGGTGTCGGTACAAGATCTGCTCGGGGTCCTTTGACTGCCGATGACGTCAAAGTACGGCAAACCCACTCGGACAAAATACACTACATATCTATACTGTTGGAAAGAATTTAGCAGTTTCGTTGTTAAAATAATGTTTCTTAAGACGTAAGTTTGTGTTTATAATGGTATTTGTAAAATAAAACACTATATTGTATTCATAATGTTGAACTCCTCTTTGAGCACATCCCTTGAAGGATCATAGGTATTAGCAACACCTGTGAAATTGTATTTGCAGGAAAGAAGTGTGTCCCGTTTATTGAAGTATTTTGTGTTTAGAGTTTTTGACGTCTTGTCCATGCGTAGTTCAGTTACGCTCATAGCTGCTAGCCAAAACTCTGGAGTTAAAAGTTTTCTGGCTTTACTAAAATACCTGTCTGTACTTATTTGATTGATGGTAGTTTACTTTCTATTAGACTCCAAATGTAATCATTTGGCACATTTCTAATTCATAATTTGTAATAATGTAATCGGTGATATTAGCATTAGCATTCCTATGGGTTTTTCACGTATATTAGCATTGCGCTAACCACTCGCTGCCAAATTGCAGCCTTTGCGATTAGAAAATCTCCTTTTGTCACATCGCAATTTAATTGCACATGCAGTTAATCGTTCAGCCCTAAGATACATGCAGCTCTATGCTAAAAGTGTATTTTCAAAGGCGTAATGATAGATTTCTTTGTAAAAGTTGTCCATCTTTCCAACAGAAAGATTTGCCTGGACCAACGTAACGTGATACCAACGTAACGTGATAACAACTTAACGTGATTACGTAATTCCGTAAAGTTCATGTTCAGCCAATCAACTACTTTGACGTCATCGGCAGTCGACGGACCCCGAGCCGATCTTGCACCCGAGCAGATCCTGTACCAACACCGCTACACGCAGATTGGCTAATGCTAACGGGTAGCAGTCTCACGATCAAGTGGCGCACAAAAAATATATATGATGATGGTAAAACTAAGAAAGTCTAAACTCTACAAGCGGATGAAAAGTCCCCACCATCCTGTTTATTCTGCATCCTGCTATGGATCAGTACCGCTGCAGGTACAAGTCACATTACTGCTACAAGTCTGCTCCACACACAGGAGCAGGAAGTGCGGCAAGCCATTGTAGTATATAATTCACAAAAGCTTATATCTTTGAACATAATTTAAACTGGATTATTGCCAACCCGTACATAATAGACATGCCACCATTACATTGTTAGCAGCAGAAATTAAATGTTATTACCATTTCTAATACAAATGCATGTTAATGAAATGCATTATATTTTACTGGATATATTTATGTGTTATTTTGACTAAGATGAGTGTTATTATTGCAAACCTAAAATGTTACTGAAATGTAGGTCAAGTATTTAAAAATATTTTAACTATAAATATCAGATGGGAAAAGGGAACTAGACACCTATCTAATGCATATTATTGAGCCTTTTATAATATTTTGCCTGTGAGGCAGTTGAATGCACAGAGTATGCATGTGCTGGCGCATGGTCAGGACGGTACCACCTCTGCCTCAATTTGAGCCAGGACAAACCCTGAAAATCAGGAAAAAAGGCTCCAAATCCTGTCGTGTTCAGCTGAACTCTGATCTGGCTCACTTCTAGTTCCCGAAGCAGGTGTAACGGAGCATTTTTTTCACCAGTGTATCATTCATTTCTACTAGAGGCCACTGCAAATGTATTAAAATATGAGTAAATTACCACTTTAAACTCTACCAATTCATTCTAAATGCACTATATCTACATTACGCATTGAAATAAGCTTATAAAATCCAACATATAGAAATCTGCTTGTAAATCGTAATTTAGACGACTTGCTTATAAAGTCTTTTAAATACCAAAATGTAACACCTGCTTCAAAAGGAAAATGAATGTCTTTGCTGTGTATAGAGATTTTGAATGACCATGGAGGCTGGCACAGAGGCACAACAGAGTGGTGAAACGGCTGTCTCAGAGTCCGAGGCCCAGCAAATCACCCTGTCACAGGTAGTGAATTGTTTCCACTTTGATTTGGAAGTTATTTAAATGTCACAGCTTTGCACATGGGCCATTTGCATGCTTTTTGCAGATGCCCATAGCAGCAGGCCATGTGACAACTGGTAGTCCCACAGTCACTGTAGTGCAGCTACCCAACGGTCAAACGGTCCAAGTGCACGGCGTGATCCAGGCTGCTCAGTCGTCCGTCATTCAGTCCCCACAGGTCCAGACGGTGCAGGTACGAGGGGATTAACAGCAGAGATTTATTAACGTAATCCCAGATTTTTCTGATGTCTCGAATTACATTTTTCGTTCATTTTTTCAGATCTCGGCCGTTGAAAGCGAGGATTCTCAGGAATCTGTAGACAGTGTGACGGACTCTCAGAAGAGGAGAGAGATTCTGTCCAGACGGCCTTCCTATAGGTCTGTTTTTACACGTTCACCTAGAAACGCTATGGGTGAACGTGATGATTACCTTGCCTGTTTGTTGCATTCGCAGGAAGATCCTAAACGATTTATCGTCCGACTCTCCTGCTGTGGCTCGGATCGAGGAAGAGAAGTCGGAAGATGACACCGGTCCTGCCATCACCACCGTCACCATGCCCACTCCCATCTATCAGACCAGCAGCGGCCAGTACAGTAAGTGGGGATACAGGGAACGGGTGTTTATTTCTTTTCTTTTCATATGAAGAGTATTTTCTAACGGTGTTATGTTGCTCCAGTTGCCATAACCCAGGGTGGAGCAATCCAGCTGGCCAATAACGGCACCGACGCAGTTCAGGGCCTGCAGACGCTCACGATGGCCAACGCTGCTGCCCAGCCTGGAGCCACTATCCTGCAGTACGCTCAGACCAGCGATGGGCAGCAGATCCTGGTTCCCAGCAACCAGGTGGTTGTTCAGGGTGCGTGAGTGTTTCTTTAACGGTGTCTGAGTTTAGACTATAGATGTTTATGACCCGTCCCTTTTTGCTGGTCAGCTGCCTCTGGCGACGTCCAGGCTTATCAAATCCGCACAGCTCCAACCAACACCATCACTTCAGGGGTTGTCATGGCAACCTCACCTGCGATGGGGACAACTGGAGGTACGGAGGAAGTCACACGCAAACGGGAGGTACGGCTGATGAAAAACAGGTACGTGAACTTGATGGGTAGACTAATACGACTACTGCTTATAGACTGAATGTGTTCATGTAGCTGTTGTTTAGTGAGGTATACACGTGCTACGCTGGCCGTTCACTAGTGCTGTCCAGTGCCACTGATGAATGAGACCTAATCAAAAGCTTTATCTAGATTTTCAGAAACTATGTAACATTATACTTCTAGAAGTCTTTTATTTAGTTGTTAGCAGGGTTGTCACGGTGTGAAAATTTAACCTCACGGTTATTGTGACCAAAATTATCACGGTTTTCGGTATTACCGCAGTATTTTTTTTAAACGTGTTACATTTTCAGACAACTAAATAAACCCTGTATATCAGGAAAATATTTTGTCTAAATTTAGCCTAAAATGTGTTATTTTGTAATTATGTTGTTTATTTGTTTACATGTTTCCCCTTTAGTCTTTAAAATACCAATATTTGCCCATAACTTCTTCTTTTTGGCTGTTTGATGTCATCATTTTAAAAATATTAGATCAGATGATACTCAGTACTCAAGTAGCCTTCTAATCAGATACTTTTTTACCCTTACTTGAGTAATAAACCCTATGTCAGGAAAATATTGTCCTCAGTTTGTGTCCTTCCAGTGAGCTTTGCAGATGTGGGAAAATGTCATCAGGCAGTAATCATTGTTAAATTCATAATTATTCTCGGAGAGAGACCAACTCTTATCTGCCCCTGGGAGCACCGTAATGCATAGCGTCATTTCAATATGGCGGTATCCGCGACACGGTTTACATGCAGGTAGCGGCGCTGCGGCTGCTTTATATAGCGACTCGTTGCATTCTCCCTCAACCCAAATCCTCGGATCACGCATTTTAGCTAAAACGCTAACATTAGCTTGCCTTGCGTTGACTTTAGAGTTGTGGGTGATGGTCATGCAGATGTGTCATGAGATTTGAAGCGTTGCTGAGGGATAATAAATGTCCTGAGCGCTGTCGTCTCCTCTGGCCATTATTTCAGCTTTAGCTTCAAGAAAGTTTTGGTTATAAACAACAAAGTGCGCATGTGTCGCCGGCAACTTCAGCAGATGATACGGTGGCTGGTAAGGGTCACCGCGCCTACACCGCAGCCACGGTAAACCCAGAGAGATAATATAGCTTTTTTTGAAAACAAGACGGTTATTATTATTGTCAACTTTTTTACCGGGGTTTACCGCTACACCGGTTACCGTGACAACCCTAGTTGTTAGTTATCAAAGGAAGTTCTGTGTTGGTGGTGGTCAGAGGGGCCGGCGGCGCCAAATGGCATACCGCCCCAGGGCGGCTGTGGCTACGTAGTAGCTTACCATCACTGGCAGTGTGTGAATGTGAGAGTGCATGAAAGCATCTTTGAGTGTCCTAAAAAGCGCTATATAAGTTCAATGTATTATTATTATTATTATTTTTATTATTATCTTTAAGTTCTGAAATTCTCACAGGAGGTTTTAATCACGATTGTTTTCAAAAGTGCAAAAAGTGCAAATTTTACTGTGAAATAAAAAAAGGCATTTAATGTCTCAATCATGTTGGAAGGATGGTTAGGTTACATTGAAACAGACTTCCTTCTCAGTCAGCAGGGGGGTTGTCTAGTTTTCTCCTTTCAAAAAGAGGGACACTGTCTTTGTCTACAATGGGGTTGGGCATCGTTAGAATTTGAACAATTCCACTTTTCGATTCTGGTTCCTATAGATTCAGATTCTTTCAAGAGGCAGGATCCAAAAACCTTACATGAGCCAGCTAACCACGGGTCTTACTCGATGAAATAATCTCAACGTAAATTTGAATTCTACGAACAAAACCATCACCTTAATTTAGACAAAAACAGGTTTTCAAGAAAAAATGAAAAAAGACTTGCGGCACGGCCAGTGTGTTTGTTTCTGGCCACAACCAAAGTGTGGAAGCAGCCTCTGGGATGAGAGGCTAAATGTCTCCAACATATCCAGAAAAGTCCAGCTGCTTTCAGCAAAAACTCTCAGGATGATCATGTCCAGGATGACAGTCTACACCTACATGCTGCAGCAGCGATTCAGTCAGAAAGAAAACTTAAATGTAGCTGCTGTCAGGAACAACCTAACAGATTTAAAACGTTAACAATCTCAACAGACTGAATAGTTCAAAAAAGCAAATGAAAAAAATCTCACAACTGCGTCTTGTGAGATTTTTTTATTGTTATACTTATTTATGTATTATCCCTATCGGCTCCTAATGGCCAGAACCCAGTGTCATCCACCACAGAGACGGGCTGCTCTAGCGTGATGCCTTTAATTTTTTTACAGGTTATTGCTCAGCCTTCTGACGCTCACGCAGTCGAGTGTTGGTGAGTGGCTAAGCTTGACTGTTGATGCTCCGTGTGTTTTTATTTCTGCAGTGAAGCCTTAAAAAAATCACCTCACACCGTGCGGAGTTTGTTCTTTAAAACTCGTGGTAAATCCATTGCGTTGGCGCATTTTAACGAGCTTCCTCTGCGCCGTATTTTTCGCTGCAGGATGCAAAAGTTTACATCACGGAGAAAGTTCGGCAGACGTGTTTGTTTACGTTTGCCGCTTGGCGTTGGAGCAGTGTGATGGGAGGGAGGTGTTCGCGATGCTGTGGGCTCTGAGTAGGAGCAACAGTCAGATGGTGTGATCGGCTCTGAAATGTGTTGATCAGAGTTTATAAATCACATTTTTATTTTCACGGAGATCGGCCGCAGATTCTTCTTCTGGTCGGCAGCCTGGGAATTGAATTTAAAAAGTTTTGAACAATTCCAGGAGATACTGAGTTAGTCCTGGTTTCAATCGATACTGGATGCCCAACCCTAGTCTGCAAGCTGTCTCGCCTCCATACTTCCTGGTCCCAGGGCTAATCACATGAGCCTGTGGGGTTGCCGGCTCTGTGCCAGCATTTGTAAATCGACGCCAGCAGGCAAAAAAGCTCCAGAGTTGTTTAAAGAACGGAAGTCGGTGAATAGGAGCGACCCAGAAGAAGCCACGCCGTCTTTTTCTTTTACACAAATTTCGGTAAAGAAAGCTTGATGCTAATGTTGAGCTAACAATGCTAACGGCAAATTGGAAGCAAATAGTTAGATTCAAAAACATCTCAAGCTACTTTTTCAATGACCAACAACTCAATATTACAGTGAAATGTATTTATATCTACTTATCAATGTACTGTGTATAACTTATCATCTAGAATCTGGCGCAGAGCCGTAGCTGGAATAGAGTGGACTGGTTTGTTTTCATATATGGACTGCATTACACACATTTAACCACAGAGTGTCATTCTCACTCCATGAACCTTTAAAGCAAAGAGGTTTGGGTTCAGTCCAGCATCATCTTTACGTTTCGGCTTTTACCCAGTTTTTTTTTTTTTTTTTTTTAACAGTTTGAACTTTCCTTGCTTTTATTTTGAAAGGTTTATTCTTTTGCAGAGAGGCGGCCCGGGAATGTCGTAGGAAGAAGAAGGAGTACGTCAAATGTTTGGAGAACCGCGTGGCCGTACTGGAGAACCAGAACAAAACTCTCATCGAGGAACTGAAAGCCCTTAAAGACTTGTATTGCCACAAATCTGAGTAGAATGCATCTGTTGGAGGGGGCGGAGCTTGTCAGGTTCTCCCTCCTGTCATGTACAGAGACTCGGCTCAGAGCACCTGAAAGCCACTCCTCTTTTCTACTTTTCTGCTTTCTTTTTAAAAACTGCTCAAGTGACTCAAACAGAACCCCCCCACCCCACCCCACCCCCCACCAACCCAGATCCACGATAAAGGGCGAAGCTGCACTCTGGATGAATGAGAAGAAAACAGTTTAACGGACTAGAGGGAAGCATTCCAGCAACTGGTGCTCGGTCTAGCTGAGCGACATCACCAGCAACACAACGGAGCTCATTCACCTGGATAATCCGGACCTTTATAATCCCTCACAAGAATTATATCTGTTACCTAAAGTAACTGTAGTTTGTGTTTTATCTTTGTTCGGCGCAAATTAGATTATATGCTTCTAAAATGCTGCATTGTTTTATATCCGTGTAGTTTTACAAGAATAAATCGTGAAAAGAATGGATTCCTTGCTAGCTATAAAAATGCAAAAACTCTGGAAATTATTTGACACAATCTTTTACGCAGGTTTTTTTTTGCAGCAAAAAGACAAAAATCAAGACGTGATTTTGTGAATCCGATTTTATTCCCGTTATCATTTTTTTAAAAGGAGTTGGCATTAAAAAATGTGAAACGGTTAATTTTTTTCCATAAAACATTTGAGGGATTGTTGTTTTTATACTGTAAATTTTTTTCTTCAAACAAAAACCAAATTTTTGAGCCTTAACTGTTTTGCTGTGAAATAACAAATATATCTTTATATTTCTAAACAAGCTTCTGAGACACATGCCAGATCATTAAATCACTCGTTTGGTTTTATTAGGAAATAAAAATGTAATTCTGTCCAATTTGTAAAAAGAAAAACAGACGGGAGGTTGTTTTATCTAAAGATGTACCTTTTTGATAAACTAAGCGGCATGTGCAATCCCCTTGCATTTACAATCCCTGGACATTTCAGACAACTTAAGTGTTTTACTGCTCATGTTTTTGATGTTGGTGAGGAAAGTCTGGTTTTACCCTGAGAGGATTGTAAAGTGAGACCAAATCAAAACCATAATGAACAAAGTGGATATTTCACCATTTATAATGCCATATTAAGCATTTTTATTACATGTTGTCATGTATGCTTTTTTTATGTTGCTTTTTGTTATTTTTGTATTCAGTTTCTAAATGTCAACACAAACATGTATATTACAGTGGTTTATGTTTGAGCTATACATTAAGACATTTTTGGCAGCTGTTAATAAATGTGTTTCTGGTATATTTGGGTGGTTTTTACACCTTTTTTCAATCATAAATCCCTGTTGATGGGCAATTTGTAAGCTTTGTAGACATGGATGTCCCTTTCTTTGTCGTAGTGGACCTCTTCCACACTGAACCGACACCTGAGTATGCTCAGGAAGTTGGTGTCTCGCTCATATCGGATCTTGCAGGCCAGTAACACCACTGTGGAGTCAGAACATAGATGCTCCAGAGTCTGCATCAGAGCCTGGAAAGTGTCCTCCAGGTAGATGATGTCTGCTCCCAGAACCAGGTCGTATCCTCCTGCTGGGTAGCGATCAAGTCCCACACCCCAGGTCAGCTCTGAAACTACCAACTCCTGGGAATCTGGGGCCAGGTTGGCCTTCACGTTGGCTGAAAGGAAGTCCAGGGCGGGTTCTCGGTCTGTGATGGTCACCAAACCACCTGGAGAAGTTATCTATCAAATAAAACCAGACAACAACAACAAAAAAACGACCATAATGGATTTCAATTTCTTGACTTACCCAACAGAGCTGCCACAATACCAACTAGACCAGTCCCAGCTCCCAGTTCAATTATCCTCTTCCCCTTTAGGTCCACTTTTCCCATCTCCAGATACACACACATCACAACCGCCTGGAAAGCAACCATTATACTGGCTTTAATCACGTTCCTTATCGGTCCATTGAGGAGTTTGTCTCCATTACTGTCACTTACAGCATCCCACACCACCGCTGCCACCCCGAGTTTCTTCCAGTCCTGAGCCAGCCGAAGGTCGTGGTTAGCAAACCGGAAATGTACTGATGAATTGTGAAGTTTAGAGAGAAATGGTAACTGGTTTTCTACATAAGGAACAAGAGCCATGCTTTAAATAAAATGAAAGAAATTCCCAGTAAATATCCAGGTTTTCTTCTTCTCACCAATCTTTACCAAGTTCCTTCATCTCTACCGCCATCTTCTGGATTTAGGGAAATACTTTCGTCTTTTTAAACTCGTTTAAACTTGTTAATCTCCCCCTAAATATAAACCAGTTCTTCTTTATTCTCTAAGTAGTTATTTAGTTTAGTACTAAACATAAAACAAGACAAAAGATCATTTTCGTCAGTTTTTCTGATTTAATCTGACTTGACATTTCAATGAGCAATTTCAGCCAATCATATTCCCGCTCTTAGAGCAATGACCAATTAAAAAGCATGTAGTTGGTTTGGGTGGGACTGATTCAAGAAGGCGTGGTCTATGCCAGCTCTGTTGAGTTCTTAGTTGATGCGCTTCCGGTTGGTTTACGTTTGACGTTTCATACTAAAAGCACGATAATCAAGTTATTTCAAAGATATACATAAGTTGCGTGTAAGTACATTTTTCAGAGCTTATTTAGATATTATTTAATTTGTTAACTTTTTTTGTTGAATTCAAAAGTAATTTATTGGGTTTAAAAGCAAAAAAAAAATCTAATGACTTGAGCTCATCTCCCACTAAATGTTTTTAAATGAGCCTAACAATAATTTTACAAAAAATCAATGGCTGAAGCTTATTATATCATTGTCTTTGTAGTCATCTGATGATAGTGCTATATTTTCTTTTAAAGTATTTTTAAGTGATGTGCTTTTAATATTTCTCTCTTCTTTTAACACCTTGCACAAGTTTCTTTTGAGTGTCTTACTGGTTATCTGCTGTGAATGTCATTTTAAGCTTTGGTCAGCAACTTGGGTGATTTTTGGTTGCTGAAGGTTCTATAAAAATAAAGGAAGATTGTGTTGAAGATTTTTTTTGTAAAACTTTTATTACATTTCTTTAATAGAATAGAATAGAATAGAATAGAATAGAAAAGAAAATTATCTCATTGTCAATAAAGTACTACAAAATGTGAGGATGCTTTCACCTTGCACCACAAACAGGGGTAAAACATAAGCAGGTAGAAAAGAACCATAAAAATGATAAAAACCCAATTTTAATTAAAAAAATTGTTAAAACACAGCAATATAATAAGTCAGATGATCAAGATAAAACACATTAAAAAGGCAGTGGCACCCCAAGGGGTGGCCAGCGCCATCCCTGGCCACCCCAACTGGCCACACCCAGGGAAGACCAGTGTTCTTTAGTAAGTCATATTAATGTTCACACAAACTATAAATTTTGCATTTATTACATCACTACTAGGCTAAGACTTTCCCAGAGTTACCACAGGGACCAATTTGGTGTGCTGCCCCAAAATTGTCTTTGGCCCAGTGGTAACCAAACTTTTTTGGGGGTGCCACTGTAAAAAGGTACAAAAATTTAAGTGGTTGTGATATTTTCACAAAACAGGTTTGTAGTTTAAATATATTTGTCAGGATTTTGCTTTTGCTTGTTAGTCTGTATTTTTATTCAAGAGAAAATTTTTGTTTTCCTCGTTTGCATTTAGTTTAAAATGGCTTGGTCCTTGTTATCCATTTGTCACCCACTCGGCTTTTATTTTGAAAAGCATCACCCGGAAGCTGCTCCCAACTCAAACGCCAGCATCGCGTTGACGTTCGAGACGTGTCTCCTGTAAATGCGACGAGATGGACATTAGTTATAATATTAATAACCGCCGCTTTTCCGCTGGTTTAGTTCTGCAGAGAGGGGTTTCCGTTCGGTAAATCCGTGTTTTATTTTGGTAACGAAGCGTCTCGTGGCGTCAGACCGTTCAGCTGCGGTGAAAATGGATTGATCCACTACACTTGAAGGGGGATAGTCATGGAGTGAGGTGCGGGGCTAGCCATGGAGGGAGATAGAGGACTTTGTTACTGTTTTGTCATGATAGACACCTTACCGTAAAATGATTTGATCTTATTACGAATTCACCGTTCAAAGGCAATCCACGCATGTAAATCCGAGGAAAGTGCGCTGGTGCTGCTGCGCACACGCCCTGAAAATGTCAGCTGTCCTGCTCAGACTGCAGATCCCCTCCTGGTTGTCATTACATCGATCCCATTCAGCTCTGAAGCAGATATTTGACTTCCTGTAGCTTCCATTAAATTATAGTTAAAACACTAATGCTGTTATTTATTTGATTATTAGTCCAATACACTTAGTATAAAATAGCTTATGAGCACAGGTATCCCATTAAAGTGCCCCCCTGAAAGGCTAGATTAAACTTTGTTTCCTGAGGCGCAGTGTTTTCAGCAGGAGGTCCTTCCTGAGTTGTATGGGAGCCAGCTGTGGTCATAACTGGACTGTTGTAGGTCAGCAATGGGGGGTTCAGTGTCCTGCTGCATCTCTCCTGGAGAGAGTCCAAAGATCCTCAGGAGACACGTGGATCTGGATGAGTGTCCTATCACTACCACTGAGGACGTGAGCGAAGACACCGGGACCTATCTGCAGCACATAAGTGACAGGGAGCTCCCAGATGGTAGGCTAGGGTTCGAAGGATCCCCATAATCTCATCAAGTTGTGATTTGTCAAATTTGTGATTTCTCATCACAGAGTTGGCCCAAGAGGCAAACCCGTCGGACCATCCGAGAGCCAGCACGCTCTTCCTCAACAAGTCACAAACCGATGGTTGGTATCTCTCCACAGATGTTTGTCATTGTTTATTTCTACCTTATTGTTTTTTTTTTCTTTATAGTGAGGGAGAAACGGAAAAGCAACTACCTGAACCATGTAAGTTACAAGTCTATGTATGAGTTATAAATAGTTTACTTCCTGAAGTTTGGAGCAACAGATTTTATGTCTTTCTGGACTGATGAGTTAATGGCTCGCCCAGTATCATTACATGTAGCATTGGTGGGGATATTTACATTAGGTAATAACAATGCACAATGAATTTGACTGTAACACAAATGTTTATGAATGAACTACTGGGAAGTTAAGTAATTTGGTGCCATGATGGCGAAGGTTCTTGGTCATCCAGGTGATGGCAATATTGCAATAATACACTTTGCATCTGATCTGAGGAGCTTTCTTTCTAACAGAAAGATCCAAGTAAAATTATTTAAAATGGTAGTGAGACTTTCAATAATGCAAACTATCACAAAAATCTCCCCTTATGCAGTCCAACTGATTCTTTCTAAACCTACTTGAACTGGATTGGAGCTGTTTTAAGAAGCCAGCAATTGTTTTGGCTTTGTTCGGACCAGCAGTTACCTCATCAGCTCTGTCCGATGTCAATTTTATTTTTCCACACACATGCTATTAAGAATAGTTTTTTGTTACACAAACACCATTTAGAATAGCTGGAACTGAAGGTAAGGATGGAGTTGCAAAGGCTTTCTGTTTCCTTAAAGTATTTATCACGTTTTTTTACGCAGTCATCTCCGGGACTTCTTACCAAAAAGTTCAGTTCTTGTTCAACAATCTTCATAGACGATAGCACAGTCAGCCAACCCAACCTCAAGAGCACCATCAAATGGTGAGCGTTTTCACCATGGATTTATCTTTCATGTATTTTGAGCCATTTCTGATATCTGATTTGTTTGTTTCAGTGTCTCATTGGCTATCTACTATCACATCAAAAACAGGTAGGAAAAGTGAAATACTGTCATAGATTTCAACACCTAAAAGGTAAAAATAAAAGTGTTTACTAGGTAGTTATTTGCTAGGTATTTAACATTTTTAATAATCTGAATCGAACATATAAATAAATAAACAAAAGTTGGGTCAATCAATACTAATAACAGAAATGTCAAAACTGTCCTTATGAATGTCACAAAATTCCAGTCTGTTCATAAAAGTAAGAGAAAAGTTGGGAACAGGTAGGTAAAAGTCAAAATTTGTGGGCCAGTTGAAATGAAATGCAAAAATCTTGGGTCTATCCATGCTAACTTAAAAATGTTGCGTCTGTCCATACTAATGTCAAAATGTTGGGTCTGTCCATACTAAAGTCAAAATGTTGGGTCTGTCCACACTAAAGTCAAAATGTTTGGTCTGTCCATACTAAAGTCAAAATGTTGGGTCTGTCCACACTAAAGTCAAAATGTTTGGTCTGTCCATACTAAAGTCAAAATGTTGGGTCTGTCCATACTAAAGTCAAAATGTTGGGTCTGTCCATACTAAAGTCAAAATGTTGGGTCTGTCCATACTAACATCAAAATGTTGCGTCTGTCCAGACTAACGTCAAAATGTGGGGTTTTTCCACACTAACGTCAAAATCTTGGGTCTTTCCATACTAACGTCAAAATGTTGCGTCTGTCCATACTAACGTCAAAATGTTGCGTCTATCTATACTAATGTCAAAATGTTGGATATGTCCAAACATCAAAATGTTGGGTCTATCGATACTAACTTCAAAATGTTGGGTCTGTCCATACTAACATCAAAATGTTGGGTCTGTCCATACTAACGTCAAAATGTTGGGTCTGTCCATACTAACATCAAAATGTTGGGTCTGTCCATACTAACATCAAAATGTTGGGTCTGTCCATACTAACGTCAAAATGTCGGGTCAGTCCATACTAACGTCAAAATATTGCATCTGTCCATACTAATGTCAAAATGTTGTGTCTGTCTATACTAATGTCAAAATGTTGGATATGTCCATACATCAAAATGTTGGGTCTGTCCATACTAACATCAAAATGTTGCGTCTGGCCATACTAACGTCAAAATGTAGGGTCTGTCTATACTAATGTCAGAATGTGGATTTTTTTCCATACAAATGTCAAAATCTTGAGTCTGTCCATACTAACGTCAAAATATTGGGTCTGTCCACACTAACGTAAAAATGTTGGGTCTGTCCATACTAACGTCAAAATTTGGGGTCTGTCCATACTAACGTCAAAATGTTGGATCCATCTACACAAACTATAAAGGTGGGGTCTACTATACCAACTATCCTTGGTTAGGCCATCCATGCTAACCTCAAAATGTTGGGTTCATCCATACCAACTATTTGAGGTTAGGTCATCCATTCTAACTTGAGCATGTTGGGTCTATGCATACCAACTTCAAAGTCTTAGGTCCATCCACCTCAGCATTCAGATACTGAGTCCATTCATACCAACTATTAGAGGTTGGGTCTATCTACACACCATCAATAAAAGGTGGGGTCTGTCCATACCAGTGTCAAAGTGTTGAGTCCATCAACACCAACTTGGGTTATCTTGCAACTTGGGTCCGTCCACACAAATCTTTTAAAATGTTTGGGTCAGTCTAGTCAGCTTTAAACCGTTAGATCCAGCCGTGCAAACTAGAAAATACTGGTGAAAGTGCTATATTAAATACAGGCCATTTACCATAAAATGTTGGTACCAACTTTAGGAAAGCTGGACTGGCTCACTTTACCTCAGTTGATAACATTTTCAGACCAAATATTTTGACTTTCCGTGTTTTTGTGTCACCTTTAAGGGAAGTTGTTTTGTTTTCAAAATGCAACTTTAGATGTTTGTATTTTTGGTTTTCCTGCAGAGATTCAAACCACTCGCTGGACATATTTGACGAGAAGAAGCACCCTTTGTCGGTGAGTCTTCGATTTCTCTAAGCAGACATGTTTGGCAATGCGGATGGATGTTTGATGATGACACTTAACTTAACAGAGAGAAAAAGTTCCAGATGATTACTCTGTGGTCGACCCAGAACACAAGCTCATCTACCGCTTCATTAGAACGCTCTTCAGCTCGGCACAGCTCACCGCTGAGTGTGCCATCGTCACTTTGGTAACGACTAGAAAACAAACACGTTCAGAGTTTTGCTTTAGTGAGCTAACAGATGTGTACCATGCTAGGTGTACCTGGAACGACTTCTAACGTATGCTGAGATCGACATTTGTCCATGCAACTGGAAGCGCATCGTACTCGGTGCCATCCTGCTGGCCTCCAAAGTCTGGGATGACCAGGCCGTTTGGAACGTCGACTATTGCCAGATCCTCAAAGATATGACTGTAGAAGACATGTGAGTGCTGCTCCTCATCTATAACATTATTTAACCTGTGAATTATTTGAAATTTATCTGCTGACTTTGCTGGTATGTTGAGCAGGAATGAGATGGAACGCCACTTCCTGGAGCTGCTCCAGTTCAACATCAATGTCCCGGCCAGTGTCTACGCCAAGTATTACTTTGACCTGCGTTCGCTGGCAGATGACAACAACCTCAGTTTCCCTCTAGAGCCGCTCAGCAACAAGCGAGCTCAAAAACTGGAGGTTCATATCCTCTTTTTTTTGTTGTCATTTTTTCATATTACAATGTTTCATGTAAAAAAGTTAAATGAACTCTATATGACATCTTTTAAGTGGAAGAAGCTATCAAAAGCAACCTGGCCTTAAGTTTATGGTTCCATCAAATATGGCAAGTTATTCAGGAGCATTATCAGTTACTTTCCGAGATCATTCAGATTGTCAGGACAGGTTTTATTAAAGCGATGTGTTAATTCTGCAGATCTGGTGGTAATTAGGTTTGGGTGTGGCTAGAGAAAATTAAAATTACTTTTGACTTAGGATCATTTTTGTATACACGGTTTTCCCTTCACTATACAAACTTTTTTTGTTGTACCCAGGCCATCTCCAGGCTTTGCGAGGACAAGTACAAGGACCTGAGCAGATCTGCCATGAGGAAGTCCGTCAGCGCGGACAACCTGATCGGCATCAGAAACTCCCAGGCTGTCCTCTCCTAAGACATCCGATTGAGATGCTTGTTCAGACTTCATTTTTTTCAGTAGATAAATATCTGTGACCGAATAAATGTCAAATCTAGGTGGTACAAAGATACCAGAAGCTAAACATACAACACTGTACCACGATGAATTAAGTCTGTTTGTTTAGAAGGTAAAGCATGATTATCCGCTGATAGACTTTGGAGGAAAACAGCACCAGAATGCTTCCTGAAGCTGCACAATTCATCGCTGTTTTCTTCACTTACGTTTCACCTTTTGATTTTTAACATCAGTCAGTCTTTTGGGGAGCAGTATTTGCCAGCGGCATTGACCCGGTCTTGAACTACCCTGTGGTGTAGTTCTGCTCATGGACAACAAGACGTGTTCTGCTTACTGTGTAGGCTCTTATAGCTGTGAACTGTATGAGACTTTATTTAAATTCAAATAAATTTCACTCACTGTTTCAAGTTGAGGTGCTTAGATGGAAATGGTGTCTCAATAGTGTGTTTTTGTTGGTTTGGATGGTGCCTACAACCAGTCAACATCACACAAACCCCCTCTTCCCCTCAATTACACAGCCTGGTAAGCCATCCCACGTATGTGAATATATACCCTGGCCATGAGCAAGAAACCGTTTTCAAATGACACACCATGCCGGCAAATAAGCGTAATACTGCTGCCACGATGAGTGTTATGAAGGCTGCATGACAACACGAGCAATTTGCAGCTTTGTGTCACAAATGTTAGTAGTAATATCACAACACCGGGCTTGTGAACAAAGATCCCGCCTTGACGCAACAGAAGGTGGTGTCATGATCACATGTGGAAAGTCTGCCGAGACCTGGCCAGCAACTATATTAAGATCGAAAGTAAAACAAACAGTCGGTTTTGCTTTTGTAAACAGAAACAGCTGTGATGGCCAAACTGGAGCAATGCAGGAGCTTCATTCCATTGGAGCAAAAGCTGAAATCCCTAGATCAGGGCTATTCAATTCCGGGCCTCGAGGGCCGCATCCAGCAAGTTTTAGTTTTAACCCTGCTTCAGCACACCTGATTTCAATCAGGTGATTAACAGGCTTCTGCAGAGCCTGATGTGCTGCTGCACAGGTGCTTCAGCCACTGAATCAAGTGTGTTGGACTAGAAAACCACTAAAATGTGCAAGATACCGGCCCTCCACAACCGGAATAGAGCAGCCCTGCCCTAGACCAGTTCACAGTGGCTGTAAGGACAGAACCATTTAGAAGCAGCTTATGAAAAAAACATAGGCCTGGAATAGACTTACTGTTTAACGACGCACACGCGTTTAAAATGGCTGCCATGCTGGATTTGAAGTGCTGCTTGTGCGTGTCCCCCGAAATTAACGCAACAGGTCTGAACGCTGAGTAGCCCGTAGGCAGAGTTGAAAAACATTCGAGACGCGTTCACCACGGTCACTGCGTCTCTAGTTTAGTTATTTCATGATGTCTACAACACTGCTGCTGTCTTTTTTTTCTGCTGTTATCTCAAAACTAACCAGTAACTGATCTCTTCTATTTACGCCTTGTTTGAGTTTGTCGTACCCCATAAACCCGGTGTTCTGACTATCCTCGTCGAATTATCCTACCACGGCGTGTTACGACAGTTTCACTCTTGTTTACAGTGCAGTGACATGCTTATTTTCATGTCCCTTGGCTTCGCTAGGAGCACGATTTAATTAAAGGGAGTAAACAATAGATGTCTGTGAATGAAACCAAATTAAAACTCTCAGAAGGACGTTTATTAATCAAAACAGCGCTCTGGGCTGAAATAAGAAACAAAAAGTTCATCCAGTTACTGGGAATTAATAAACGAAGAGGTCTCTAAATAACTAAATGAATTCTAATAAACTAAAGGCGCAGCGCAAAAGGGCTAGGAATAAAGCTAAACGAATTAACACAAAAAACTGCACCAAAAGGGTGAGCTTAGTCTCTCAGGAAGTGACACACGAACTACTATAAATGCAATAACCACTCAGGTAACAAAACAAAGAAATACCACTCAGGTAACAAAACAAGACCACTCAGGTGTCGAAGGAAGACTTTAACGTCTGGGCCGAGGAGAGAGAGAGGAGTGCTAACACCTACGCATCAACGCCCATCTGGAATCTCTCCCTGAATGTCTCCAAGAGCTCCCTTTTAACAGGGAGACTCAATGAACATAATAGCCTGCAGGTGTGCAGGCAGAGTACCGAGGCCCTCTAGAGGCCAGAAACAGACAGCGTCTGTCACACTCCGTCCATCAAAACACCAACTAAAATGGAAACAAACGATAGAACGTGACTGAAGTTGTTGCAACTGAAATAAACTAATGAGAGCTCCCGCTAGCAACCCAAAAGGAAACTAACTAACTGACCCTAGACTTCATGGAGACGGAAAGGTGGGCGGCTTAGACACTAGCCCAGCGAGAGGGAACAATGTCTCCCCCTCCTGGAGTGTTCCCGAGATGGAAGAAACCTTCCAACACTGACCTCCATGGCCCCCAACACTATCAAAATAATAAACGGAACTCCACCCAAAGGAGTGGAGTTCATGTGCCTACAAGGGAGCCTCAAGTGCTAAAACTACGTGAAAGGGCATCTGCCATGACGTTCACGCCCCTTTTTATGACGGATTTCCAGGTTGAATTCTTGCAGGAGGAGGGCCCATCACATCAGACGTTGATTATGGTTGTACATGCGGTTGAGGAAGGTCAGCGGATTATGATCTGTAATTACAACGGTGGTGAATCGACTGTTTCCAACATAAACACAGAAATGTTGCAGGTTGAGCGGCTCGCTGCTGAGAACGCGTCTCTGCGGGAGAATGACGCGGATCACCCAGGACAACAAAACTCTGAAGGAGACGGTTTTGGACCTTCAGGCCCGCAGCATGAGGGATAATCTGGTGTTCGCAGGCCTGCCGGAGCAGACGGGAGGGGTGGAGAACTGCGAGCATACAATCAAGAACATTCTCCAGACCGAAATGAAGATACCCGAAGAAACGGTACAAAACATCACCTTTCACCGGGTACATCGCCTTGGACCTAAAAGAGGAGACAGCAGAAGACCTCGTCCCATCGTGGCAAAATTTGAACATTTTAAGCAGAAGGATCTTGTTAAAAGTCACGGAAGAGAGCTCAAAGGGAAAGATTTCAGCGTGAATGATCAGTTCCCTAAGGAGATTCTGGATCGGCTCCGGGTCCTCTTTCCGCTGCGCAAAAAGTTTATCCAGGATGGGAAGCTGGGACGTAATTTTGGGGGGGGACGGGTGGGACATGTCCCCCCACTTTTTCAAAAGGCAGTTTTGGTCCCCTGCACTTTTTTCCGTCCAAAAACAATGTTACGCTCCATTAAATGGATTTGTTTGAGCACTAGGACCGAAACGGAAACCGGTTTACTATTAGACCTGCCCAAAAGCTAATCTATTGGCTCTGCTGATACTTGCTAACGTATTATTGGCTGTTGCTGCTGTCACTCAAGTTGTAAACAGTCAGAACGTGCTCACGTTGTTTTGCTAGTTTGGAGCCGCTAGGGAACACCGGCACTGAGTCACATCGTCAACTAGACGCTGTGTAATATCAGAGCTCAGCTCAGCTTCCATTACATAACATTTGAATAAGTGTTCATTTGTGAGTCTTTGGTAGTTAGGCACAGCCAGGAGGCAGCATGTCAAGAAAACGAAAAGTGGATATAAGAAACTTCTTTCAAAGTCAAAACGTAAGTTGGAACATGTGACACCCCTGCATTAAGCTCAGACTCACCTCCTCCTTCACAAACATACTCAAAACTAACTTTTACAAACTCATCTCCTCCACATAACTGACTCCTCAGACACAATTTATTCGTATTATTATAATAATTATTTTTTTATTATTACTATTATCATAATTATTATTACTAGTAGTAGTAGAAGAGTAACTTCAAAACTTTTATCATTTAACTTTATTGTAAACTTATCTATTGCAATGTATATTTTCACATTAAAAAGCTCTGAAAAATGAACAGTATCATTATCGTCAACAGATTTTTTTAAGCTTAATGTCAAAGATGTACACTTTTCATTAGATTTATCTTGTTTTTTCATTTATTTTTTGTGTGTTGAAATGCAACAACTGTTTAAACACTTTTAAGGGAAAAAACATATTTAATATGTTTTTATACACTCAAATGTTAGGGTGATGATCATGTGTAAAACATTAGTTCAGCATGTCCTCTAACACAGCAAATGAACAAACGGCCAGATCTCAGGAGGGACCGTTTATGTATAAATACTTTTTATACTTTTGACTAGGCCTGGGAAAGTAACACATTTTGCTGGACGATATTTTGTCCAACAAATTGTTGATGATAAACGATATTGTCAACATTATCTAGACCAAAATAACCACTAATATAATGTTAATATATCATAATAATGCAAGTACACCCTTTAAAATGCAACAAATAAACCTTCATTTAACATTGAAATGTCCAGAACCAGAACTTCTAAATGAATAAAAATAACAAACAAAAATTAAATAAAAAAGGAATCTCACTCCCTGTTAGAAAATGTTGCACCAAAAACAATAAAAAAACACCCAAAACAATAAATACAATGACCAATACATTGTCAACAGCCAAAACTGCACTTCAATAATGATAATAAATAAAAATAATAATAGAGTTGTACATTTTTTAACTCTGATATATATATATATATATATATATATATATATATATATATATATATATATATATATATTGAGGATGGAAAAATTATTGAGATGGGCACGTGACGTGTCAAGGGGTCTTTACATAACACCCCCCACCCCAAATCCGCACAAGCCTGCTGTGTCCCCCCCACTTCTGAAATCAAAATTTCGTCCCTGATGGGAAGAGAGCTGTCATCTCGGTGGATAAGCTTTATGTGGACAATAAGCTTTACAAGGAGCGAGGAGTGACTGACTGGCTGTTTTAGCCCAACATCAGGTCAGACGTTCACTATTCTTATCAGGATTCACTGGGTTTGATCACGTCAGGATTAAACAGCTGCTAAATCCGTATTCTAGATGATAAGATCACCTGTTCATCACCACTTCACACCCCTACCACCTTTTTTTAGTTCTTTCTTCTTTTTTAACCTGTATCTGTACTTTCCCTTCCTCTTTACCTGCTTCTGTACCTTTACACCTGTATGGCACAACCACACAACTTTCCAACACAGCATCGGACTCAACACACACACACACACACACACACACACACACACACACACACACACACACACACACACACACACACACACACACAAATATATTAAATTCACAGCACAATATCATAATTTATGCATCAAATAGTACAACCACAAACACTGTTGGATCTTTATTATTATTATTATTATTACTATTATTATTATTTACTTTTCTGTTATTTATTAACATACTATTTATACATTTATATACTTATTCCATCTTATTCACATGAAGGCGTCATATTTTAGCTACTCACACACAC